TATGTGGTACAGGGTCTACTACACAGCGTGACTTGTATTGATCCTCCTATTTTTCATCCTCCCCAGAGTTAGGATCACAGGCATGCACCACCACACTTGGGCTTGGTCACTGGCCCAGCACACCCTGGGGGCCGGGCTGGCACAGCATGTGGGAGCAGAGATCAAACCCTGGCTCCTGTGCTTGCCAAAGTAGGTGCTTAGTCTGCTGAGCTATCCCACTGGTCCTTAGTTTGCATTTCTCAAATTGTGATGTTGACCATTTTTTCATGCATTTATTGGCTGTTTGTACTGCCACATCTGAGAATTGTTTATTCATTTCAGATGACCAATTTTTGATTGGGTCTTTAACTTTGGGTAGGGGCTAATTTTTTTGAGATCTTTATTCATGCTAGGTACTTAGTTCTTTGACATATTTCTGGCAAATTTTCTTTCTTCCATTCTGTAGGTTGTCTCTTCACTTTATTGGTTGTTTCCTTTGCAGTGCAGAAACCTTTTAATTTGATGTGATCTCATTTGTTGATTATTGATAATATTTCTCATGAAATATTATCTCTGTACCTGTGTCTGTAAGAGTTTTACCTGTTTTGTTTTCCAATAGATTGCTTTTATTCTAATATTTAGTTCTTTGATCCATTTTTATTTTTGTTTAGTGATGGAGAGATGTGTAGGTCTAGGTTCAATCTTGGGCATGCAGGTTACCAGTTTTCCCAGAACTATTTGTTAAAGAGGCTATCTGTCAAAGATAAGGCCCCCTTGTCAAAGATAAGGTAGCTGAGTGTGCCTGGGGTTGTTTCTGCATTCTTTATTCTGCTTCACTGACCCACAAGTCAAAATTCTGTTTTGGCAGACCTCTACACCATAGTCATAATCTTGATCTTTATGAAGCTAAGATGTAGAATAATTTTCTTGTGCTCTTTTATTGTCTGCCTCTTCCCAAACTGCAGCCTTCAGCATCTACTGATTAACCACATTGCTATCATTTTGCTTTTAAGATATCTTTTATTTTTTTTCTTCTGTCTTTTTGAGGCAGAGTCTCACTGTGCAGTTCAGGTTGGCCTTGATCTTACTTTGTAGCCCAGAGTCCTCATACTTGAAATGATCCTTCTGCCTCAGTCTCTGGAATGCTGGGATCACAGGGGTGTGTCACCACGCCTGGCTTAAAATAACTTTTAATTGAAAGAAACAAATGTAAAAGTGACTGAAATAAAGTACAACACAGTAAACTGTAGTTGTGTGTACTTGTGGTGTGACTAAGGTTAATACTAGTTTAGGGAGAGCAATTAATTTGTGACCAATGAATTTACTTTTATAACAATGGAGAACTATGCTTCCCAAAAGGAATATGAATTCTTAAAATAGCAATATTATTTCTCATGTTTATGGTAGACAGTTATAAAAAGTGATTGCCTACTTCATACTTCACTAAATAATTATATATGCTAATTTTTATTTTCAGTGAATTTGGGTGGTTTGAAGGATCACATTAAAGAAATCCAAAGGTGTCGACGTTTGATTCTTATTGCTTGTGGAACAAGTTACCATGCTGGTGTAGCAGTAAGTTATACATTTTTAATTATGTTATATTGGCTATTGGAGGATACCTGCAGACCAGTAGTAGTTCTCTGGTAACACATCATGTAAAACTGTCTTTGGTTAAAACATGTTTTTTCATATTTACTATGATAAAAATCAGAAAGAGGTTTAGAGATTAATGACTGCTTAAATGATTTATCTGTAGAAAATCTACTATACACAACTCTTTATATATACAGATAGACTACTTGCAGTTGACTGCATGAGAGTCTTGAGAGGAAAGAGAGCTGTACCTTCCTAGACTAGGGAGTAGGCCTGCTTGTATAAGAAGAGACATTGGGATTTGCTTAGCATTCCTCACTTGTCTCAGATATACCCATGGGAATTTCAACAGGAACAATGCTTTCTCTCCTTCTCAAAGTAATACATGTGTGTGCTTTTTACTTGTAAGAATATTCACATTCCTAGTTGCCTAATGATACTGGTACTAAAATGTGAACAGTAAATACTATTATCATTGGGTTGTGGGATTTTGATTTTTTTTCTACTTTAATTTTATTTTGAAGAGTAAAAACAGAAGCAAAAACAAATAGAAAAAAAAGACAAAGAGGGTGGCATACAACAATATATATGTTACAGATTTTCAAAACAGAAATAGCTAATAGTGGTTGTTATATTATCTATTTTTATCATTATATCTGTTAGTTGCTCAAACTAACAGATATAGTTATACAAGATGGACAAATAATTGAATATTAATGCTTTCAAGAAACTTTGATGTTTTTTCTAAGTTTATTTTAAAGAGAAGATAATAATTGATAAGACATTAGAAACGGTACACATTTAGAAGACCAGGATGAGAGGTATTGAACCATGGGTTTTGTATTACACATTGCTGTCTTCTGTGTAGTTGCTCAGATCGCAGATATCAGCATACAGAATTAGTCAAGGTGAAAATTCAGAACATTAACTGCTGTTTTCAAAACACGGATGGAAATTATTAGTACAATCATCTCAGCCATCCTGTACATATACTTGCATGTTTTTCTTCCCTTCTTTTTTCCTATCTTTTCTCTTTTCTCTCATTTTCGTTATTTAATCCTTAGGTTCAATTTCTTTCTGTTTTACTATAACTATTTTATTTATTCTTTTAGGTTCTTACACTAGGGAGACAATATGATATTTACACATATGGGTCTGTTTTTTAAAATTTATTATTTATATTTTTTAACTTTATGCATAATTTTTATGATCAGAAAAAATGGAAACTATCGATTGAGTTCCAAGAAGTTCAGTCGAAAGAGTAGCTGAAGACAAGTTTGATGACCTTATTGTCTTTTCTCTGCAGACACGTCAGGTTCTTGAGGAGCTGACTGAGTTGCCAGTGATGGTGGAACTAGCCAGTGACTTCCTGGATAGAAACACACCAGTCTTTCGAGATGATGTTTGCTTTTTCATTAGTCAGTCAGGTATGAAGGAAAAGGAGCTAATTTTATTCTAATAATTCTAGCATATTTGGGCAAAAACTGGTGTGTGAAGAAATTGGTATTACAGGTGATAAATACAGATGTACTTTAATGTTACATTCTTTAAGAATTAGTAACATTGATGACTTTATATTCTCAGAAAGCTGAATTTTAAAAAACAAAACAAAATCCTAGAAAACTTCTTGGTAAAAGTTTGTAATTTAATAAGTATATGTTTTATGCTTTATGTGAAACAGATTTTTTTTTATCAAAAAGAAGCAAAGGCTGAATCTACTCAGCATGTTACTTCCTTGGTACCATTTACACAGGTGAAACAGCAGATACCCTGATGGCTCTTCGTTATTGTAAGGAGAGAGGAGCTTTAACTGTGGGAATCACAAATACAGTTGGAAGTTCTATATCAAGGGAGACAGATTGTGGAGTTCATATTAATGCTGGTCCTGAGATTGGTGTGGCCAGTACCAAGGTAAGTTTTTGACTTCTGTCTCTAATGATAATGTAATCACCATGTTAGTGAAACAGACTAGTTTCTAGACCACTGTGTATCATGTTTTTTATTTATAAGCAGTATGTAAATCAGATTTTTTTAAATCATTGTAAATATTTTAATACTTAAGGATAAATAAATAATAAAAGGAACAGGACTATAATCTCTTTTCCTTGTTCCAATCTGCTTAAAAGGGAGAAATACATAATTCTACTTTTAAAAGGTCTCTGTTAAATATTCCTATTCATCATTTAAACCTTGCTAGGGACAATGGAATACATGGTACATATATAATGTTCCCTTCCTTTATTAAGGTAGTTGGGAATTAGAAATGCGACAGATTAGAAATAATCTAGTTAATTCAAGTAATTTTCTTTCATATTTTTATTTATATATTTCTAGTTTCTTATAAATGTCTTAAAATGCACATACTATTTTTGACAGTTTATATAAAGGAACATTCCTTGGTATAAAGAATGGCAATTAAAAAACAAAGATTTTTTTTAAAAAATTTAAAAGAGTGTAACAGTGTTTCGCTTTGCAAATCATGTCTATGACTATTAAGGGATTTTGTTAGACTTAGTAAAACTACTTTACTCTTTCTTAGAAATTGGGATGTGCATAAATTTAGTAATGGTAGACATATTGGAATCTTAGTAATACAAATGTAAAAGATTTCTCCATAAGTATTATTTCTTTTCTGCTTAAGGATAGTACTCTTTGCTGTTTATCTGATTGGATACGT